CAACTGAATTAAGAAGACACAAGCACAAACGAATGTACTGTATTTGGAATTCGAAATCGTACAATCAACAAGTACAAAGGTATGATTAGTCAATCCAAACACCACATCCGCCACAGCTTAAATAGGTGTATAAGTGTCTGTAATCGGTTGTACGTCTTTTTTAAGTTCATCCTGAGTCTGTCCTACATTGTATTGGATAAAAACTTTGTAGTATCTAGAATATGCTCATTAGTATTGGAATTAACAAACGGAATCGGAACAGACTAACCTGGAATTGTATACAATCAGCATATCGGTTTTGTACCGAAATCATTAATATCTAGAATTGGAACCATATATTTTTCAACACTATCCTCCCCCACGAAATAATGTTGGATCTTTATATCCCCAAGTTATGAATAATGTGACTTCATTTAAAACATATTTCTCACATTGACTAGAGTATACATTGGAAGTGGATTTGTGATAAGGATGAACAGCAGTTGATATGAAATCATCCAAATTGTAATTAAAATTGAGCTCACTTAATACTGGTGCTTCGCATTGAACAGGTTTTTCACAAGGATCAAATGCATTATAAGGATTTATCGACATTGCTGTCAACTGTCCCTAGATCGAATTTTCTACACACTTACACACACCCACAATCTCACTTGGACGTGATGAGTAAGAAAATAAGATGTAGACGGTAAAAGTTTGTATTAATTAGCATAGTTTATTAAATAGGAAACATTTTTTGAAAACTTCGTATATTTGATAAACCCGGCATGAAATGCTAACCTATTTATTTATCAGACTGCGGGTGACTATAATCATATCTGTCAGCCACAATATAGACGTTTGACTAATAACCTAACGCTGATATATTTAAAAACTGTAAGTGAATTTTCTCTGAACGAATGATTTTTCCATGCATGAAACATTCCCCTAAATCATGCCGGCTGCGTAGAAAACTTTTTCTCCCTGAGAAAGTAGTGATGAACGTCAGAAGTATGTACCAAGTCAGATCGGTTAATATTAATTTGAATGAAAAATAAACGGTTTTACGAAAACTAATAAATTTGGCGTAAATTTAGGCGGAAAGTAAATCATTAGAGTACACTTGTGCCAAGCAAAAATAGATCATTTGGCGTAAATTTGTCTGAAAAAGGACTGTTTAGTGTTAGGTTTACGTAGGTTAATTTACTTATTTTGAATCAGATGTGACTTATCAGATTGTCGACTAAAAATCTGTATACTCAAAGGCGTCCATGTGAGAGAGTTATAAGAAAGTTGCTAAAAAGTGCAAATTCGCTCGATAGAATGTCTTGGTCCAAAAAAGATTGAATTTTGGGTAACTTTTGGGAACTATTTATGGATTGTTATGAAACATATATTCTTATTGTATAACCATTAAGTGACTAGATTATAAATATTTATATTTCTTTAATTATAAGCTTTTATTTGATCTATTAGCTACTACTGTATCATTAGCGATTCTTAAGTTATTCCCAGTCTACACGTTTCAGTTTCTCACACTCACAGACACGTTTGACTTAACCTTGTATAACTATGATTTATTTAATGATGTGATGCGGTCTGGTCTGCTTGTATATAAACCGAATACGTCTGAAATACACGATTCATGCAGCTTTTATTGAATGAAAAGTTTTGCTAAATAAAACTCCTTACTCTATTTAGTTGTCTTATAATCAGAACATAGTTTACCGGAACGCAGAACAGCTCTCGACAAACAACGTTGGGATGTATATTGTATCTTGCATGGCCGTGACTGTGACGCTTTTACAGGGGCAAAACAGCAATAAAGAGTAGGCTCCCTCAACTTATAGTAATTCTGAGTGACGAAGATGTAGCGAAATAAATTCCTTTGGTTTCTCAGAAACTAGCAATACATGATCCTCAAACAGCAGAGTTCAACACGATAATTCATAATCTGTAAAAGGTACAGCAAGAAAAACACCAGAGAGCTCTTGAAAACCTTGTAGCGGTAAATAAATCCCCAGAATAGATAGCTATGTAAGTTTTCGACATTGAATGCTGACCACATTCGTTTTAACGGACTCACATAGCTGAAGGCGCTCGGTCATGCATCCGCACCAAACCATTAGTGGGAACATCGTGCTTAACATCCCCTGCAATCACTAGCCAGCCTAGATTAGTCAATTGTAGACATATTGATAACCTATCAAATATATCTTCGAACCTCCTCACTTCTGTCTTTGAATTTCACTTGTTGGGTGCGATTCATAATCAAAAGTGTTGGTGGTTAAAGTGCTTATTAAATTCTAAATACATGTGGCATCTTCAACTTGAACTGATATGCGACACTTTGGATGAAGCTCACGCACATGACGTACAACAGTGGTGATGGTTGTTTGATTGCCCAGGCGTACGTAACAATGGTGATCAATTAGTTCGGACTTTATTTCCGCCATACCCAGCTACAATCGGTTCTCCCCATCTGATCGCAGTAAACTTCTATAGTCTAGAAGACTCATTGGGAGTTCTATATGTCTGACACAATGTGGGGAAAGACCTCAACAGTTCCCATAGAAATGGCCAACCTACTATAAATCATAATCTTTAAATAACTTCGCTGTCACAGAGGAATACCGCGTAAGACGACACGTAATCATGTTCCGCTACAACAATATAATGGGACTTGAAATCAAATTGATGAAAATTAGATACACTCTCCATGGCGACACCAGCGGCTAAAGGTAAGAGGTAACGACCATGGGTAGTTAATATAAGATATAATTAGGGAAGTTACCTCAAGCTACATGCTCAGTTGGAGAGGGGAGAGTCTTTTATAGTCGGAAGGCTTCTCGAAAGGGCAATAAGAACTGGATGCGATACTAAAATGCGAACTGAAAGTAAATATTTTCAGAAGAAATTAACAGCTAATATACGTCATTAGGGTATAACATCAAGAGTTCCGTGATGCTAAAACAGTAGGCAGAGACTATCAGTAAACTGGCATGTGATCTGTTTGGAGGCTCACTAGGACACCGAGATATCCAGGTCGTTAAGCGGCAGAGACGATTCGCCAGAGCTACAAAACGAGCTCACAAAAATGGAATTATGGATGGTGGATAACAGGTCAAATTGTGGTTTCTTAAAATGTCGTGTTGGGAATATTTAACCTAACAATACTCAAATAATCCACATTCTTCACAAAAATCCTCTCCGTTTTGCCCAATAGAGTGAGATCTAGGGATATTGACCAAAAGGGGCTAGAACTCCATCTTAAACTACATTGGATATGTGGCAGAAATGCATATGAACTTCCACGTTTTATGAAAACAGTTTAGTGCCATTGTCCCACAGTTCTTACTAACACGTTCTCAAAATGAATACTCAAACCCGCCTTGAAGTTCAAAACATTGTTGGATCCTCTTTCTTCAGAATACACACAAACCACTTAGACATATTATTGAGAATTGCAACCAAGTGAGTGATAGGTCTACAGCACAAATCTTACGAAAAAAGATCCCAACACATGGGATTAGTCTCACTAATCTGCAGGAGAATAAGAGGTGATCTGATGATGGCATGAAACATATTGATCCCACCAAATCACTCAAACACTAGCATGTTACCAGAACATTGTAGAGATAAATAAATCCCTAAAATCAATAGCTCTGTAAGTCTTCGACATTTGATTCTTACCACATTCGTCTTAGTGGACTCACCTAGCTAAGGCGCCCGGTCATGAATTCGCACCAGATCACGAGTGAGTACGCCGTGCTCCACTTCCTCTACAACTGATAGCCAGCTTAAATTTATCACTTCGCGATATATTGATATCTTATCCTCTTCGCTCCTGACTTCACTGTGTTGGCAAGTTTTGATTATTGAAGATGTTACTGGTTAAGGCTTTGTCAACATGCGGCATCTTTAACAACCTCAAAATGTCGCACATTTGACAGTAAAAACCTGGATATGCTCTCAGTTTTCTCACTGAGAGTTTCTAATGTTTGGAATGTTGTCCCTACACGGTAAATTGAACACAGCCCTATAGGCGTATAGCTTTGAGAGAGACTTGATAGACAGCTAGTGGTAATCACGATCACCACTATCCTGAGACAAATGCATTCACAAAATCTTAGAGTTACACAAATCCACAAAAACTTTGAAATATTCATATAGATGTAATTTTCATAGATCCAGTTAAAGCCCTTCACGATGTTGTGATGCGATTAAATAATGTTTCTTATTACCCAAAGTAAGAAGCCATAAAGATTTAGAGGTCATACTAAGCAGAGACCTCAAAACTACCAATCACAGTAAGGCTGCTGCTGCGAAATGCTATAGGATATTATGGTCTATTCGTAGGTCTTTGCAGTATTTGGATGAAGAAATGTTTAGATTATTATATCCGACTTTGGTTTGACTACATTTGGAATATGGGACTTTAGCATGAGGCGGATATGCCTGAACGAGTTCGACGATGAGGGACTAAAATGGTAAAAGGTCTACCTGGCCTATCTTATGAAAACAGACTGAGACACATTAACTCAGTTCCGTTATCTTACGGTAAAATACGGGGTGATCTGATATTGGCTCATAGTATACTAGACGATGACTGCGGTATTAATATGTCTTATTCTGTCCTTCTCTCTAGGACTGAACATTTGAGAGGACATTCGAAGAAAGTTCAATAACTGAGATCAAATCGTTTACGTATGGAGTTTCGTTTCTCTCACGGACTACTAAATTACTGAAATGCTCTACCGAAACATATGATATCAGCAACTTCTGCTGACATATTCAAAACGAAACTGGACCTCCAGAGTTAAACTGCAAGGATTAATATAGGTCGATAGATCTTCTATCCTTATTGCTGAAGACTGACAAGAACTAGTGTATTCAAGTCGTTAGAATACTATTTGCTGAACATAAAATAACACCTGGAACCGTAACAAAATAACACAAGCCGTCGTAAAGAAACCAATCAGTTTATACAATCTTATGAAAATGATATTGGACATCGGGCCCTTCGAGTCCTTGAGCTGTACTTTAAGGTCATACACATGGTTTTCTGTTTCTGCAATCTAAATTATAAAACATAACCCAAACCGCTGTTAATGTATGGTATAGAAGCACTAGAAGAAGTAAAAAAGTTGGCCGAGGATGATTCTAAGTATGTTGCCTTGATAAATGTAGGTTACTGAGTTTTCCATTTATAAACCAATTTCTTTCATTTTAGGACAAAACTACATTACAGGGACTTGTTTTACTACTTTCGAACAAAAATAACTCAGTTATTTCAATAGTGCTGCAAGTATATTTAAAACTTCAGACTTCTGATTTTAGACCTTAAAAATTATATCTGGCCGACCAGGTGGTATTGATGCTCTGCAATCATTATTGGGATTAGGTGAACAGCTAAATGAACTGATTAAACCCACTAAATCCAGTGAAAACGAAGCCTCTCAGCCCTTCTCTAGGAACGCTGAGGAACTTTTATCTTTGCTTAACTGCTCCAATAGACAAGGTCCTCCCAGACCCATGAAAACCAATCCAGAAAAATCACACCCCACATTCAGACCAAAGAATGTAGTTTTACAGCTCAGAGGAATAACAGACGAGGTAACATTTCATCAATACGTAACCTCAGGTTCTTTACTCACCTTGTGCAAGTTTCGTAACCATATTTGTGTGCTAGGGTTTCCTAATTTATTGTCATTGTCTAGATAAGACAGAGCATAACATTTGAACGCTTATAAATATACGGCATTGACGTACAGGACTCTTTTGTCATATATTCTTTGTCAGACAATTTTATTATTTAAAATGATTCTAAATGATATTTATATATTTAGACTTAAGCAGGGTCGTAAAATCGTGTCTTCTAAGTAGCTTTTCGTTATAAACTGTTTTATTAAGGTCAGTTGAAAGGCTTCTGTTAATAAGTATACTGATTAATGTTTTTGAACTTCAAGAGACAATAAATTCTAAGCTTCAGGCTTCTGTTTACTTTGGCGTGAGTCTTGATAACATAAAAGTACATTGGAAAAGCGTTAGTATAACTCAGTGATTGACCATACCTTTATATCTGACACTGGGACACAGTTATCTGAAAGTAGTTACCTACTATACAACTGTAATTCAGACCCGTTATCTATGAGACGGATATTTGTGTTATTTGATCACTACCTTAAGGATTGAAAAGAGGCAACATAACTAAATTCAAAAAATAATTTCACTCAGTAGATTTACTGGTCTTAGGTTTATAGAAGCCCATTGTTGTTGGTTAGTGTCAACAAAATAACTATAATCAGTAGTAAAAGTCCAGGATTTTCCCAAAATCAATCAAAGTTGCGTAAAGGGTTCGTTTTTCATATACTTAGTCTTAGTAACAAGTGATTCTGATTTTCCCCATCTTCACTCTTTCAGCGTTCCTCTAAATTTTGTCCTCTACAATTTTTCACATAACCCCATATTTTAGCTGTTTCGCCTCGTTAGCAACTTTATCCAGTATGATTTTTTTTCAACTGCCTTATTTGTATTTGTTCGTCATCACAATCAGGAAAAAATTGGAACATATAAGTGGAATTTTATGAGGTAGTTAGCATGAGCTAGTTTTAACAAGCGGACTTTACTTAAAACCTTTAACAGGTGAATATTGTTATTGTCTTAGAAGAACAGACTTATGTGTCCACATATGTTCTTGAAAGTTGGGGTGTATACATACGTACAGTTCAAAGCGGAATAAACTAACAAACTGGTGTTTTATTCTAGACATCTCAATAAAAAAGCATCTAAACAAGATTTTGACCTGAAATTCAAGGCATAAGAAACTATATAGATTCTCTGAATATTTCAGTCATATGTCAAGTTTGTTTTGCTAACCACATTTTGTAGTTATGTCTGGTTAGCCTTATTTCAAAAATACTACAAGAAATTAAAGTGAAATATTGTTTTTCATACATTTTATTAGTCCCAGGTGGTTGTACTTGAAGAGTAAGTGTCGTGTCAATAAAGTGGAGTGCACGTTTTATGCTTGTTCTGTTTAGATTTCTTACGTAATCCTCATATCTTATTTATTAGGATGATATTGAAATAGTATGTTCAAAGCTCTTGAAAATTCGCGGTGTAGTTAGTATTACATTTCAGCTGCAGAAACATCGCGTTCTTGTTTGCACGGTACCTTCGTTAGATCCGGAATGCCTTTTACATGCAGTATCTTCAATTAAAAACAACCCAGGTCAGTCAGATGGTACTTGTCAAACAGATTCGACCCGTCCCATAATCACAGCCCAGATTGTCAGGAGAAAACATAGAGCGTAAGTGAAATTTTTATCGGAACTTTTATAACCACTTATTCATTTTAATATCCATTACATTTATGAAATGGAATGTGTTCTTATCGTATGTGAATTAATGATATAGCTTAGCTAAACAGACCACAATAAGTAAATTTCTGCCTAATCCAGTTAGATTTCATATTCATAAATGACCATACGTCAACGTAACTTTGTTGGTAACATCTTGTACATTTGTCTATACTAAATTATATGCTACGTTGATAAGCAGTATGAACAATAATAAAGCGAAATATCTATGTACCATTTCACCCTTCATCACGTGTTAAGGTATGTGAAAAAGTTCGGCTATTTGTGCAATTTAATAAACCAGTTTTAGCGTAAACTTTTCGAGTTCATCTTATTAATTTACTTGAAATCATGAACCTATCTAAGTTAGATCACCAATGAAAATGTGGAAGCACTGAACGGCCAATTCGTCTTAATATAATGTTTCTAAGCTCTGCTCATTCATTATCCCGCACGCGAGACTCGAACTCAAAACCTTCGGTCCCTCGTGAACGCGTACCGCTAAGTCGACATCCAACGGTGTCAATTTCGAACTTCAACCAATCATTTCCATTCCTGTAGCCTTCAGCTTATACTGCCTACAGATAGAGTAATCCTTTAATGGCTGTATGTTGGTTTAATGGAAATGAAATATTTATTGCTGAGTTCAGTTTTCTATTTTTTATACGTTAATCAACCATTCTTAACTAATATGTTAAAGCCCATAGAAACGCATTAGTTATCTTCATGAATACAGTTACTAAAGCATAAAAACCTCAGTGGTCTAGCTCCGTTCAGAAGTAATCTACAAGCAACTTCATCGATTTTAAAGGTCTGTCCGATAATGAACGCCTACATTATTATTAAAGATTTTTGTTAACATTTTCATTGACAAATGTTTTGTGAAGTGATAACAAAAGTATAGGATGAAATGAATTTATTTCGTGTATTCTAAATTTTTTACATACAAAACAATTTGTAAATGGGATGTTATATATAACATGAATAAAGTAACCCAGTTTACCAGCAAGGAGTAATTATGAATACTTTGCACTATGATACAAATTCAATTTATAGATAAACAAAATAGTGAGTGAGAGATACCATTCTATGTATTTAATTTACATGAGGTTTGGTTCAACTGGGCACAAAAATTTGTAAGCGCTGCACAAGATTTCTGTGTGTGCGCTAGAATACTTCTCGAATACCTAGACGAAAGCTTATATTTCCCTAAGAGAACCACTTTCCAAGCTTTTTACCAAGAAGTATAATCTACAACAAGGCAGTGGAGCAAGGTTAGCAAAATGTACATGCTCCAACTGTCATATATAATTATCGACTTATTTCGCGTTAGTGAATAACAATAAGCCATACAAGAGTGAATTCTGGTTACGTATATTTCATACACCCGTCGATCCAGACAGACAATAAGGGACACGAAGCGAACAAGAGAAGGCAAATATGTCAACTCCACTTGAAGGAATGTGAATCAGTATTGATAGCTAAACATTTAACGACTGGGATAAGCATACGCTCGTATAAAAACAACCAGGGTTAGTAAGCGAGTAGTTGACAAGGTCGAAATGTTGATAAATAAACTGGAGGCTAAAGACACACGTAGGATCGACATAGTGCTAGACACTACAATGCATCTAATCTCATCTTAACTTTAATGTACTTCTATTTAATGCGCGTATGCAGATGGTTTTTCTTTAGTACCTACCTAGAATACATTGAAGAGGAAGAATGTATTTGTAAAATCTCAGCGAATGAATTTTGAAGTAAATAAATTCTTCCTCTTTAATGTCTCATAATTAACTCAGCGCTCAAATACTATGAAATTATTCGATCAAATTTAGACGAAAGTTTTTATTTGTCTACCTAGAATACGCTTTAAAAAGCTGTTTTTAACTATGTTTTTACCTTTCATTTTTTTATAGAAGTCAGTGTTTGATTTTATGTTATACATATTGATTCTAGGCAATCCTTATACAGACACAGTTCATTCAACGGTTTAAAATATAGGCAAAACTCGCGAAATACTGAAGTCCCACCTTATTTAGAAGATGATGCTGATCTCTTTGAGGTTGATGAAACAAGAGCTGCTCCAAAATTAATGGATGCTCCAAGCAAATCAAATCCTTCTAAAGGTCCTATTAGTTGGCTATCAGATTTCCTGGAAAAATCACTATTTTGGTGAATTTCGTACAATATTTCCTGTTTCATAGGTTTTATATTATGTCAGCTACTGTATTTAGAAATAGAAATACAAACTTCCTATAACTTACATTCCCTGTAATAGATCTACAAAATGTCAATTGTCGTTTGATCTCACGAATTAATGCGACTTTCCATGCCAAGATCCCAACCCGACTCTTGATTACCATAATCTGCAACAATAATAAATGATTGGATATTGACATTTGGTGTCGATTACTAGGAATTTTTCTTACTACTCACCAGCTACAGATTTGCGTACTTGGCTTTGAGCCAAACGTTTAGGATTGAGGGTTAGGACTAGTAGTATCACTTACCACATGAAATGTATGAACAGAATGGTTTCCCTGAATTTAGTACCCAGAGGATAAAAATGAAATAAATTTCAAAGTTAACAATTTATTAGGCAAAGGAAAAAATACTTCACTATGTATACTGATAACAAGCTCAATTAATAATGAACTAAAGAGGTCATAGATCCGAACGAACTTTAAATCCAGGACCTTTAGGTTCTGTAGTCAGTGATGTCAAACCACCTTTCGGTTCGGATGCAAAACGTCCACCTTGTCCGCTTCTAAAATGAAGATAAGTTAGAAAAAATTCAAGTATCCATTTGATTATAAATTTAAGCATATGATAGTCAAACCGTTTATGTCAAGCTAATCTGCGAATATTAAAATTATCATACACTAAGACCCTGGCTTCAATATAAACCTGTCATGTATAGAAATGGACGTATATAGGCTTATTCAAAAAGGGAGTAATTAGATAACATCTTGATGTCGACTATTTTCGATCTAGTTCAACTAGACGATCAATAAAGAAAGAATAGAACAAAAACTTAAGGTATACAGAAACCAATTTCACTAGCATTTTGAAGCGAATATACAGTTGAATAATAAGTACTTTTTTACACAGATTTTAAGTCCTGAAACTAAAATAGCAAGACAGGTATAATTTGAAGCCTTTAGAGTGTTGAATAATTTTCAAAGATGTTTCAGCACCTTCATAATTGTACGCAAGCGGTAAATGAATATCTCAACGTTACGATAGAGTTCAGGTACCAAACTCACTAATTTATTCATATCAATAAAACTACCTGAATCATCTGTTAAATTGTTTCTAATTGACAATTATTTCTCGTTGATTGGTCTCAATCAGCTGAGAAATGTGAGTAAATATTTAATTTAGCTGTGTTGTACGTTACGAACAACATATTTGAAGTTAATGCTGATCAGGATACCTTATCATAATCAGATGCAATTATTTGTATGTCTTTGTCTGAGATAAAAAGATCATGTTGCGGATAGTATTTCATGAATTACACGCTGGGGAAATAAAATACGATCGAAAACTCACTAACAGTCAGAAATGATATCTATGTTGTGTGAGTAAGACTTACAAACTCCAGGAAGGTTCGTGATTTCTCTAACGTTTACCGGCACAAACGTTACCTCACATACTTATAGCCTTGAATGAAGTTCAGAAAACCGTCTAACTTATTCGGCTCAGCTAACACGTCACTTGCCTCTATTTCACATTATAAGCTAATCAGACGAGTAGGCGAAAAGTGCGATTTTCTCATTACTTCAGTGGCTCTACGTTTTAGAAACTGAGGAAGTCAATAAAGGATTAAAAATTTAACACGACTTTGATAGTGTGAATTATGTGAAAGAAATCAGTAATTTTCAAAAAGGAAATCGAAGTAGTGATTAAATAATAAACGTCCATAAGATATAATTTAAAACTTACTGTGGGCCAGGTTTTGGTTTTTTCCCAGCTTTTATTTCATCAAGAATACGAACTGTATCCTCTGCTGTTAAATCCTCCTACAAGATAATATATAAGAGAGTGGGTTACAATTAGGAGTCCATTTTAAATAATTTTGAAATCATACAAAAAAGAAAGGTTATCTCATAAATTAGTAGACTGACTTTGCTAATGAATAGCAAGTGTTCAAATATTTACGAGACCTCTAATGTTCTCAAAGTCTTGCTAATGACTTGACAAGCACCAAAACAAGATATAAAATTTCCTCAACAGTACCTTGAACAATTGGAAATGAAATTTTATGTATGAATAGAACTCCAAATTGTTGTCAACTATGTGAACTTACGGTTTTGTGTTAATAAGAGAATTTTTAAAGTTAAAGCTTAAGGCTGAAATCTGCCTAATATTTTGGCTAGTGAACGAAAAACTCCGTGTTTATAATTTGCTAATCACTTGAAGTTATTTCTACTAGTTTCATTTTTGGTCGACTTCTTTTCTCTGGAGAAATGCAATATTATGCTAGGCTAAGCCGACGATATTTTTCATACATTTAGTACATCGAATTGACTGCATTTTACCGGCACTGTGAACTTCCTGAATTAATATACTAACATAATTGTCAGTAAATATTATTGATGGAAACTAGTAATGGAATGGCGTAGCGCTTATTTGCAAAATCACACTTTAGCAACGCTAAAAATCTTCAAGTCCAAGTTTTTTGAAGTGAGAGGGACAAGTAATAATTGACATTTCTTGAATTATGACAGAATCTTCCGACATTTTAATAACGATATAGGATTAGCTAGCGAACATATCTTTACAATATAGACTAGTGGTTCGTAATTAGTTGGCGCTTACGTACTGATTGGTAGTTTTTACTTTCCTCTAGTTCTGTTAACAGCTCAGTAATTCAACCCAAGCAACTGAATCATTAAACTATCCACACAAATTAACAATATACAAAGTTGGAAAAGTTTACATGATCCACCATTCAAAATGAAAACAACACAACTCTAAACAAAAAAGTGATACTTTCCCACCACAGTTTCATTTGGAAACTGAAAAGCTCAGACTATAAAGTAATCTGCTCGACACAACTAGTGCTAACCCTAATTTATTGACTTTAGTTACTCAAATTTATACATTCGAAAGGTCAACGATTTAGTATTTTCGACTCAACTGATGCTACGAAAATTTAACTCCGTTATCTAAAATACTTGATTTTTAAAAGCAAACCATGGTTAAATCTCGCAGATGAATTATACATAGGTATTTTTTCTTAACAATAGCCTTCAATGTTACAAAAATCTGCCTTGGAAAAAGACTTTAAAAACCTACATAATAATCATCATTAATTTGCATCATGGGCGCATTTACACAAGCTCCAAGGCATTCCACTTCTGTCAGTGTAAACATTTTATCAGGTGTGGTCTGGCCCGGTTCAATACCTATGAAACCGAGAAAACAAATATTAGTTTAAATGTAAAAGTACGGGTCACAATTAGGTATTGTGCACTAAAGTTTAAAAGCGACCCGGTTATCCTTTGGGAAACTAACTTGCTTATTGCAGGCTTGACTGTAATGTGCATATACTATTGGTTTACTAAACAAAAGCATTTCAGAAAAATACCTAGGTTAGGTAAATCAGACGATCCCTGTTGTCGATACTGTAATTCACGGTAGGAGTCCAGTATAAATGTTAGACTGGACTTAAAAGAGCAGAAAATGGCAACCACATAACTGTTTATATAGGTCAACGGTTCGATAGCCCACATCATAAACAATCTTAATAGATTGACACTTCTATTTACCAAAAACAAATGGTTTATAAACAACCTACCTTTAAATTCTGACGCCATAGTATATTATTAGGATTCCTATAGTTGTTTAACTATTAACATAAAAAATACAGACTTTGAAATGGGCTGATTTCCCAAGAGATAGGTACCAATGTTAAGCACAATTTACGTGCCAATGTTGGTAGAAACGATATATTAAAGGATTTATAGGAAAATGTTACGAAATATAATGACGACATACCAAGTTTTTTCTTGAGTGCGTTTAAAATAACTTCTGACCCTACACCTCCTAGCATACACGGGGTTGTGGTACATATTTGAATGTGATACTTTCCGACTGGTTCCCTGAAATGAGGAAAAAAGTTCGTCAACGAATTTCTAAACTACATTACTTAGCGCGCAGCATGTCTATCTTAAGTTTAGATCAGTCAGCCACAAAAACCTTGGAATCCGGCACATATCGGCATTGATTCAGGTTTCCACGCAACATCAGTACAACAAAATGAAATGACAGATCAGAGTTGTAAAATTAGCAACAGTATAAGCAGTAGTAAGTAAGTATTGTCATATTGCTACAGATAAGCACGTTAAAGTACCGAGTAATACACATAGACTGGTGTTCCTAGATGAAGTATTAAGCGAAAATTTTGATGCTGAGAGAATCGGGAACACAAAGTAATGAGAATTGATTATAAAGCGTCAAGTGATATTTGTGGAAGGCGTGTAGTTGTAGCTTCACTATGTTGACTATCGTGTTACACATTCTTATAGACTTCCTTCTAGTCTTTGGAGATTTAAACACGGGTTTAATTGCATTAACTTATTACATATAGCGTGGTCAAAAAGTAAAGTGTAAGATATACAGAAAAGTATGTCTTGAAAATGTTGCAGATTAGGGTGTGGGTAGTATTTTACTTTTACAAAGTCATAGTAGAATTAGTGGTGAATAAGACTGTCGTGCAAAGAGCGGGTTGAAAAGCTAGAACTATTTACTCTGTCCTATCGCAGATTAAGAAGGCATCTGACTTTGATGTATAAAATACTAAGACATGATTTTGGACCTAACGCATCCTGTTTTTCTTTCCATTTGATCGGGACATTTCAGATGACATGGTAGGTGAATAGAAAAGGCAAGGACGAACAAAATATCCGTGGTATACAGGTTTTACACGGAGACATCAATTCTTGGAACTTGTTACTCGAAGCAGAGGTGTCCGCACCTTCAATTGCCTCATTCAAAGGAAGAACAAATTCTCACATAAGCATACTAGAGAAGGAATAACATAGGTCATAGGTCTTCCGTACTTATTTCAAAAATAAGAATAATATTTGATCCCACTGCTAACCTGTTAAACATGGTATAGAATGTGGCGACTTCATAAACCCTCATCTGAGGGACATTAAGAATCTCTGCCACTTTGTTCATAGCGGATATTGGCAACCATCCTAAATAAAGTGAATATTAATTAAGTCTAAACATTATTACCATGTTGTCGCTGGGCTAAATCCAAAGCAGGAATTATAGCAGCAGCCTTGTGGGCAGGGGGATAGTTTGATATTATCACATCTAGTCTCTTTTTGTTTTCTGCAGAAAATTCGAAGGTTGTATTAG